AAAAAGCTATGAAAACCACAAATCACATATTTACAAATACAGTGGACCCCCGGTTAACGATATTTTTTCACTCCAGAAGTATGTTCAGGTGCCAGTACTGATCGAATTTGTTCCCATAAGGAATATTGTGAAGTAGATTAGTCCATTTCAGACCCCCAAACATACACGTACAAACGCACTTACATAAATACACTTACATAATTGGTCGCATTCGGAGGTAATCGTTATGCGGGGGTCCACTGTACAATATTTTGTCTATTTCTCTGGTATAATACTGATTATAATAATTATGTAACATTTCAATGAATAACAGTTACCTCACCAACATTACCAAGTCACCAGCTGACCAGGAATATTGTTCATTTTCTTACTGGCAAGGAATTCTTCCATATACTATAATTAAGTAAAATTATTAACAAGCACTACTTTAATATAACTCAGATAAAAAAAGGTGTACAGTACAAGACAAAGGGCAATCACTTCACGTGTTTAATGGAAACATTTCAGCTCTGGGACCTTTGTCACGTTAAATGTACACAAGAGTGAGAAGGACCCTGAGAAGCTGACAGGTATGGTAGCACAATCCTTGACTGCTGTGTCCAGTGATGAATGAGGTGAAGCTTGTTTGATGATCACGTGTTAGCATCTCAGTGATATTATAAGTGACTTATTTGTGTGTTGCAGTGTTACAGCAATACAGGCTTCCAGACAATGGCATCTGTAGAGATTAGGCTCTATGAAGATGATACTCACTATGATCCAATTCATCAATGTCACTGTGGACCACATGTACATGAATCGCTAGGATCATCCTTAATGCATGCACATTTGTACCTATCCTACATATACCTTTTCAAAGTGACCACAGGAAATAGTGTGACAAAGATGGATAAATGTATAGCATGTTGGTATGTCATGGACTGTCTCCTAATAAGTTGCCACAGTTGCCAAGTAGATGTTCCTTACAGTCAGTGCACGTGTTGTGCTGTTGGCCACACTGTTGCCAGGGAGGACTACACGTTTCATTAATGAGCTCCCTGGGTGATGCATTAAGGATGGCCTTTGCTTTTTGTCTGCAGTCTTGTTTGAAAAAGGCTGAGAACTGAAGTTTGGTAAATACAGTACAGTGGACCCCCGGTTAACGATATTTTTTCACTCCAGAAGTATGTTCAGGTGCCAGTACTGACCGAATTTGTTCCCATAAGGAATATTGTGAAGTAGATTAGTCCATTTCAGACCCCCAAACATACACGTACAAACGCACTTACATAAATACACTTACATAATTGGTCGCATTCGGAGGTAATCGTTATGCAGGGGGTCCACTGTATTTGCAGTATGAAGACATTCTTCCTCCATGAAAATAGGGCTAGAAATGCAGAAAGTCTGACATTTCAAGATCATTCTTCTTTGTAGATTTTCTGTATACAGTACAATATTTTGAAGATGAGCTTGTTGCTGGCCTGGAATTTGCATAGAAGGGCAATTGAGAAGAATTGTCCTACCCTCTTGAGTTCCAGAGTAAACTTATTGGCAAGTTTTATTGCGCTCCATACATGTCCGTGTGTCTGTACTTGTCTATTTGTGGTTGCAGGGGCCAAGTCATAGCTCCTGGCCATGCCTCTCTGCTGATCACCACTAGGTCCACTCTCCCTCTACTCCACGAGCTTTATTGTATCTCTTCCTAAAGCTATGTATGGATCCTGCCTCCACTACATCACTCTCCAAATTGCTCCACTTCCTGACAACTCTCTGGCTCAAGAAATACTTCCTAACATTCATATAACTCACCCGAGTCTTCAACTTCCAATTATGACCCCTTGTTGTTTGTGTCCCATCTCTGAAACATCCAGTCCCTCTCCACCTTGTCAACTCCTCTCAGTATTTTGTGTGTCATTATCAAGTCTCTCCCTATCTCTCCTGTCCTCCAGTGTCATCAGGTTGATTTCCCCTAACCTCTCGTCGTAGGACATATCCCTTCACTCGTGGACTAGTCCTGTTGCAAACCTTTGCACTTTCTCTAATTTCTTGACATACCTGACCAGGTGTGGGTTCCATACTGGTGCTGCATAATCCAACATGGTGCATGCATAATTCAACAATTCCTTGCAAAGGTGTTAAAATGCTATTCTCAGGTTTGCCAGGTGCCCATATGCTGCAGCAGTTATTTGGTTGAGGTGCACCTCAGGAGATGTACTCAGTATTATACTCACCCCAAGATACTTTTTCTTGAGTGAGTTTGCAGTCTTTGGCCCCCCCCCTAGCCTGTACTATCTGTGGTCTTCTGTCTGTATAGCTGTCTGCGAGTGTCTGGAAATATGCCACAACGCGGGGAGTATACCGCAGCGGGGGAGTATACCGCAGCAGGGGGGAATAACCCACAGCAGGGGGAGTATGCCACAGCATGGGGAATTATACCGCAGTCTTTCTGCCTGTCTCCATCTACCTTCCACGTCAGTGTTCAGATTTAGGACTGAATCATTCCCAGTACTGTAATTTAAGTGCTTTATTGGCTCTATGTTAGCCATAAACAATCTCTGATTTCTCTTCTGCGCAGAACAGAGCCAACGGCACTGAATGTTACTACAAATGAGAGCATAAGCAACTTTGTCATCACTGGCATTATTTCCCACTGACACCATCACCAACGTACTTAAGGATTAACAATAACGCCAATCTCGCTCTCCCACAACAGGAGTTTATAGCACTAGATGACCTATGAATCAATTTTAACCCGTAAACGGTCTAAATGTATATATATGTTTTTTCAACATTTGAATGTAAAAAAAGTAGATCTTTTTGTTTTTTTACATTTGAAAATGTGTAAAAAACTTAGATCTACTTTTTTTTTGTTATATTTGAAAATATGTAAAAAAAACGTAGATCTACTTTTGTAGCACTACACATGTGAACATAGATCTGCTTGGACCGTTTACGGGCTAATTGTTGTGAATATAAACAAAAATTCTGTTTCCAACAATACTTTGGTTTAGCATTATGGAGTTCACTCAATGAAGTGTTGGTGAATGTCTATAAGAAGTATTTGGAGATAGAGGGGTTTCAGTCTGTCATGGTTATAGCACTTGGACAATACATGTATACTGATAATACACCCAAAGCTGCTCAACACACAGCCTCCACAATCAGATCAACACTGTAAAACGTAACATCAAGTTCACCCTAGAACCAGAGAAAGACGGACAGCTTCCCTTCCTGGATGTCACTCTATACAGATCCCAGGATAGCAACAAGATCACCTTTAATGTGTACAGAAAACCTAACGAAAAAAAAAAATGATCGGACATACTGCCACTAGTACCATACAATATGCACCAAATGAGTAATAGACAGAGGGTCTATTTTCAAGCTTTCGACATTTTCAGTCGTTTTTTTATTGTGAAGGAATACACCTACATACTGCAAGCATATGCAAACTTCGTTTCTCAGCTTTTATACCAGATTGCAGACAGATAGTGAAGACCATCCTTTATTCAACACCAAGGAAGTACACAAACAAGAAAAATGTAGTCCCTCCTAGCAACAGTGTAGCCAACAACATAATACATGAGCTGGCTGTAATATCGATGTGGCAACTGTGGTATCTAAATCCATCAAAAAACTTGCTAGGTGACCCCATGACAACCTACATCTACTGTCAAGAGTCTACACAATACTTTATGGTCAATGTGGGAAGGTATACAGTGCACAGAAGACAGGGAGGAATTTGTCTACTAGAATTAATAAACATGCACGAGTGATCCACTGGAACACAGACGAACATATGATGGATTGGACTAAAGTGCAAATAATCTTCACAGAACCTAAACTCTACAGATACCATTGCGTGGAAGCCTCCTGTAGTACTTTAACATAGTTACACAAAAAGCGGGAAATTATAGGATTGCTGAGGTGCTAACATACATGATCATCAAACAAGCTTTGTCTTGTCCACCACTTGACACAGGAAGATAAGATTTGTTCGGATTTTTAAACCAAGAAGGTTAGCCACCCAGAATAACCCAAGAAAGTTAGTTCATCATCGAGGACTGCTGGTCTTATTTCCACTGTGATTCTTCAATCTTGTCCCCCAGGATGTGACCTACACCACATCCACACCAGTTGGCTAACACCTAGGTACCTACTAACTGCTAGGTGAACAGGGACAGCAGGTGAAAGGATTATTGTATATTTTGTAAATGCAGTAACTGGAACTAAAGAATTTTAATCTAAATAGGTCCAAAATGTAACTGTTTCAACTGCACAACCAATACAAAAAATGAGCAGCTAAAGAGTGATTTTTTTTTTTGTAATCCCAGCCAACAGTAGCTAAACATGTGCTTCAATGAATGCCTTAATTGTGCAACTGTATCTTGTTCCCATAAAGTCAGTCTTCCAATTTGGACAACAATAAGCAAGTTTATTTAGGCACAGGTAAACATAAGTACAATTATCATAGCGCAAATTACCTAGAATAACCCTAGGACCCAAATAGAAATAGTTACTTTGACTTTATTAGGTTATCCTAGGTAATTTACACTATGTATGATAATTGTACTTATGTGTACCTGTGCCGAAATAAACTTACTAACCCCCCCAAAAAAAGTCAGTGATTTATTTCCACTGACAGAAGTCAAATCAGTATCGGCCCTAACCAGTTCTTATTACATATATATTTCATGTTATATGTTATATATAAAACGTATATTAAGAAAAAAATCTTGAGCCAGAATATTTTTGTATTGTTTTTCATAATTATATAAGAGAAGTTCACAAATCATAATTAAGTGTTTTGAAGGCCATATATGAGGTGGAAATACTTCTATATGAATATTAACTTCAGGTATATATGTATTTCATGCGTGGTCAAAATAGAAGAGTAAAAAGCAGCAGGAAGTGGGTGAGGCTTGTTCCTTCCCACCATTGTCTTCCCCCAACATCGCCTCCCTGGGGAAGCCAGCAGCTGGTCAGGGGTGTAAAATACATGCCAGATGATGACCCACCTGGAGATAATGTGTGATGGTGATGAAGTTACATCCAGTGAGGTAGAGAGATGGTGAAGATGTCACTGTTGTAAGCTCGGGCGAGGCGATGCCGATCACTGACCTCAACTACACTTCTCCTAACTACCTCACACTCCTTCAACTAACATTAATACTACTATTAAAATTATATTTACATTTTTTTATTTGCAAATTAATGCAAAACCTAACCCACAGTTATATAAATTAAAGTAAACAAATTTCGTGGTCTTCATTTGATGACAAAGTTGTTAAGTATGAGAGGCAGCGGCGGCATCTTTATATGAAAAAAATATATACTACTTTATTTGTAGGTTTATTTAGGCATATGTACACATATATACAATTATCATACAGTGTAAATTACCTAGCATAACCCAAAATAGTCAGACAGGGTGACTTATTTCCATTGGGATCCTTTGGTTTTATAATTAATACATCTCATTATGCGGTTGTTCTCGTTTATATTATATGACATTTTAGTTACAGCAAGAGCAACCCTTGTGGGTTTAACGCTTAGTTATTAATATAATAATAAAAGAGTAAGAGCTGGCTGAAAAAATGGAAAAAAAGTGTACCAGTGTTTATTGTTTTGGGTTAATGTATAGAGGAATTAGTCTATATAAATAATTTGTATTCATGTTGGTATCAGATTACGTATTGGATGAGTAATATTGTTATACATAACTGATGCTATGTTGAATTAACATAACATTAGTTATGTATCTAACAATTCCCCAGAAGGATATATTTCCACTATACAATTCATTTATTGTTCCCAAATACAGAATATGGATCCAGCATCCTTCAGGAAGGATGTAGGAATTAATGTGTCAAACAATTTTATAAAATCCTACAAACATTTTAAAGACAATTTACTTTCTTGTGTGTTTCTTAACACCTAATTCCTACAATATTTCCTTTCCAGTTTAGGCGACCTGACGTGAGAACAGTTTATGGATCCATCATCCTGGAAGCTGAAGGAATTATCTTACAACCTGTGATAGATGGCGAGTAGATAATGTGGACTACACATGTGTATCTATGTTGCTTGACATCTATCATTACTACAGCTGTAACGAAGGTGCAGCTGCCAGCTTCATGGAGGAATGTTTGTCCTAAATGGAAATAAATCATAGAATAATAATAATATATTTATTTACTACAAGTACATGTACAAGGTATAGTCCCAGTTGACATCAATGACATACTACTACTATATAGAATGCCCCATGTTATGCTGAGCATTTCTGGCAAATTAGGTCAGTTTTGTCCCAGGATGCGACCCACACCAGTCCACTAACACCCAGGATGCGACCCACACCAGTCCACTAACACCCAGGATGCGACCCACACCAGTCCACTAACACCCAGGATGCGACCCACACCAGTCCACTAACACCCAGGATGCGACCCACACCAGTCCACTAACACCCAGGATGCGACCCACACCAGTCCACTAACACCCAGGATGCGACCCAAACCAGTCCACTAACACCCAGGATGCGACCACAACCAGTCCACTAACACCAGGAAGCAAACCAAACAGTCATAACACCCAGGATGCACCCCCCACCAGTCCACTAACACCCAGGATGCGACCCACACCAGTCCACTAACACCCAGGATGCGACCCAAACCAGTCCACTAACACCCAGGATGCGACCCACACCAGTCCACTAACACCCAGGATGCGACCCACACCAGTCATAACACCCGGATGCGACCCACACCCAGTCACTAACACCAGGATGCGACCCACACCAGTCCATAACACCCAGATGCGACCCAAACCAGTCCACTAACACCCAGGAGCACCCACACCAGTCCATACACCAGGATGCGACCCACACATCCACTAACCCCAGATGCGACCCACACCAGTCACTAACAACCCAGGATCGACCCACACCAGTCCACTAACACCCAGGATGCGACCCACACCAGTCCACTAACACCCAGTTAACCATTTTACTGATGGGTGAAGATAGACAACCGATGTAAAAAAAACATCTAGTGTTTCTACCCTCGCCGGGAATCAGTTCAGAGAGCCGACAAGTTGATGAATTATAAATATGGGCAATACTTAGGTATCTTTTTCATAATTAAGATAATTTATCAAGTCATAGGATAACCCAAAAACTCAGTGACTTTTTTCCATTGGAATGGAAGCCCAGTTATTAATTCTAATACACCTCTATATACATGACTAAGACAAAGAATACTACATATATGCTGCTATGTATGATAATTTATGTAACTGTATACTTGTAATGTATTACCATGTACTTGCAACACAAACAGGGAGAATAAACACCAAAGTTTACATTGCAAAGTGATCAATGCTGAAAAAAATAGATTGGAAGAATATTTTTTACATAGTGGTAGAATAGTCAAAGTCAAAATTTTATCTCCATGATAAAATACAGAAATGTGTGATATTGTTGTGCATAGAAGCTCATGAGTTAGCCTGACCAAAACCAGGCGGGTTACTGCTAGGTGCCACCCCACCAAGACTGCCACAGGGGTCAGGTAATCTTTAGGTTGCTGGGGGCCATTTGCCAGTCGTGGCTGCCAGGGGTCTTTGGTAATCCCCCCTTTTATTGGGGGAGTTGAACGTCTGGGCCCCAGCCTTTTGTCTTTTTAAGTGAGTGATTTTTCTTTGGCGTTGGAGGGTTCTCGTTTTCCAAAGGGTGTTTAGTATGTGATGATTTTCCCGTGCTTTCCGGTACTTGGTCCTCAGGATTTTAGGTGTTTATTCGTTTTTCCCCGGGTTCCGAATTTTTGGGTTCAAACAAACCCTCCGAAAGGTGTTTATGTCATTTTCCCGTTATGCGGCCTGAAGGTTCTCATGTTTTTTTGGCATTCCCTGTTTTGAAGGTTCCTTTAAATTTGTAAACCCAATACCCCCGGCGGGATTGAAGGGTCATAGGTCTTCAAAATTCCATCCATTCTGTCATTTTTCTAACACTTTTCTACTGAGCGACTAATGACTACTTTCTCAGAGTCCCTACTGAGTACTTACTGCTGGTCTTTGTATCTCATAATTCAAACCTTTATCATTTTTTGTGGTGGGGCTGAGGGCGTCTCACTTTCCAGACGACGTTTGACAGATGTATCGGGTCCGTGAGTCTGGAGGTGACAGTTATGTCTAGGAATGCTAGTGTGTGGTATGCACATGTCCCACCGTCCTGTTCTATGTTAACAATGATCCCAAGTCTTCTGAAACAGGGGTTCATCTTGCGGTATTTTATCATCAATTTCCGGGAGGTCATTGAATGAGCACCGTCATAGTACAGCAATGTCCCATCAAGGCAGGAATACACAGCAATGCTGTGTTTGTTTTCCTGTCAACCCTACAATTCGACCATGACCTTTGGGTAATGAAGGCTCCAGAAGGAGGTCATCATCCCAACACACTTGACATACTTTACCAAATGGACGAAGGAGTGTTATTAACAATGTTCAAGATATATGTCCAGTCAATCCTCTGGTAGCCTCCATGATTAGTTTTTAGATTTTTGCCACCGAAGTTGCTAGTTTATTGTGCACCCCCATATCCCTCCTGTGGAAGGTAGCGCAAGAGCATAGGGAATAGACAAAAGGCCAGGAACTAGGTCTGGCACTAAAAACGCCAAGATGATGATGATGATTCAAAAGTTTTGGTAAATAACCTCTGGCAAACATAGCTGAACCATCAATATTCTTCAAACAAAACCGTCTCTTTTAACTTTTGCTGTTCCTCCAACTTCCATACAAAACTAATTACTCACATTGTCTCATTATTTTTCTACTGTAATTTAGAAGTTCCTTTATCACCAACTTCTTTATTCAGTCATCCCACAAAACTGAAGATCAATGAATGAGTTTAAAATAATAAATCAAAATTTTTAAAAGTGTACTTCTGTACATTATGTACCTTTTATTGTATATAATAATTGTATTTAAAACTTTTTGTACAAGTTTTACTTAACTCAATATTTTGAATCACATTACAGCATTGTCATATTTTTGAAAATTGTACCATTATTTATTAGCTATCTTTGTTATTTTGTATTTTTGTCTGAAATGTCTTACATACTAGTTAATGGCTTTTTTTTGTGTCCATCAGTGTTTTATTAAATGTAAACTTTATTAACCCTTTGTACAACTTAAAAACAAACAAATGAATTTGAAGCTTAAAATTGTTTAATGACACTAAAACAGTTACAGTGTCCTACCCGCTATTAGTTAATGACATTACTTAATGACACATTTCAACATGTTTCCTTACACCTGTTGTCCTTTTCACCTAGCAGCAAGTGGGTACCTGGGTGTTAGTGGACTGGTGTGGGTGGCATCCTGGGTGGCCTGGCTGGCAAAGTTCTCGCTTCACATACGGAGGGTCCGGGTTCGATTCCCGGCGGGGTGGGAAATATTTTGATGTGTTTCCTTTTACACCTGTTGTCATATTCACCTAGCAGCAAGTAGGTACCTGGGTGTTAGTGGACTGGTGTGGGTGGCATCCTGGGAGACAAGATTGAAGACCACAATGGAAATAAGACAGACAGTCCTGGATGACGCACTGACTTTCTTGGGTTATCCTGGTTGGCTAATCCTCCAGTGTTAAAAATCCCAACAAAATATAATATGTGTGACCTGGAGTTCTAACCCCACCCGTGGTATGCTTGATAAAAGTACTACAGTCTTGTCTGGCCAACACTCGAACATTTTTATTTGTTTTATCTAACTTTTAAGGAAACTCCATGGAACTTACAATAATAATAATAATAATAATAATAATAATAATAATAATAATAATAATAATAATAATAATAATAATATCCTCCTTATTACATTATTAACTCAAACATAAAAAAATGAAATACCATTGTTATTGAATTTATCCTAAATATATAAATGTAAAATATAAATCATAAATACACACACACACACGGACAACTTCTTGGTGTTCTCTTTATTTGATCATTCAGAGTTTAATCATGTTTTGTGGGAGGTTTTGAAGGCGTCTCAGTGTCCAGTGGACGCTTTAGGTCTTCTTGTCAGCAACTGGTAGATGATCTTTAACGTCTGCCAACAATACGTTCTTGGGACCCATTGCAGGAAGTAACTATATCATTATTGAATTCAGTCAACATTGACCTGACTATGTTGATTGCTGTAATATCCGGGTTATATTTCATTTTGGTGGTGAACCAGTGGTTGTTTGTCATCAGGGTCCGTGAGTT